ATGAAGGTACTCCTCATCCGACAAGGAATGCGCAAATTGGCGCTCATCAAGCGGAGTACTGCTCAACCAGATTTGCCTCCAATCCTCAAAGGGGGGGCAATATCATGAAGCATGTAGGAAGGCTTGCTCGCCACCCTTGCATAAGCACGGCTGCATTAACTGAGAAGCATGCCGAGAACTCCTCCCATCAGCAGAAGGACGATGACCCCATTTCGCCCACGTCCATTCTCTCACCACAGCTGGGCGTAAACGAGAGCCATGCACGAAAGAACAGAACTTTAGGCGCAGGGTACCACAGTGATGGCATAGCCGAGACAGAGCTGGATTTACATACCTGCGCCTTCAATTGCGAACAGCGTTTGGGTCACTTCCCGCACAGAGAGCAGGATAGGGGATGCCCAAATGTGAGATGTCATTGGCAACTTGACACGCCCAAGAATCACGTTGGGTCGCAGCAAACTGATAGACACGGGCCGCTAGGCTTCGATGGACTTCATGCGCCGAAGCGTCGGACAACCGTCCAAATAGACCAAACTGCATGCGCTGGACTTCAACAAGAAACGGATGCCACCCCAACTCGCCCAGGATTGCAGCACCAGCGGCAGCAGATGGCCATAGAGGCAAACAACGTCTACCAAACTGACGTAACTTTTGATCCAGCTTCTTGAGGGAGGACTGGTCGAGGAAGTGCGAGCCGTACAACATTTAAGGCAAAACTTATGACTGAAACAAGCTTCGCCGAAAAGCTGTATGCAGTAGACGATTTTCAGCCCAAGATACAAACTGATGAAACTTCCCAGTGCATCGGTCAAAGACGCGATCACAATGCTTGTTCCATTTCCGGGATGACTGGAAACGAACAACCACATAACAATATTCGTAACATCGTTTCAATTTATTGCAATGAAATTGTGGTCGGGCAACTCCAACGTTGCATCCACCGCAGCAACGCAGCATCACTAAACTAAGGCACACGTCGTCAAGGACCGCGTTGTGGATTGTCTGAAAAAAGTGCAGCGTTCCAATCAAGTGTGGCCCCACGATTCTGTGTGTGAGCACGGTGCTGCAACACTCCACAGCGCTACCACTTCAATCACATCCCCACCTGAGTTCACCCAAAACTGCAGTTTTTTGTTTTTCGGTGCACCGCGAGGAATGACGTCCCCATTGGCGAAGCTTTTGGTCCACACGAGCTAATTGCCCAGGATAGAAACATGTGCTCCTTGAAGGATGGCGCGCTAAACATGCGTTTGGAAGAATTGGCTACGAAAGCCTGTGCAATTGGCGATCCTCAACCCAACCCAAAAATTGGTGGAATCTACGATTGGCGGTGTCCATAGAACGAGCTGCATGCGTATGCCACTTGCGCGATGCCTCAAATGTCACACCCAGTCACACCCAAGTACGTGTACTGGCGTACACAAAGCAACAGAGAGGCAACTTGGAACCGATAACCATGACAGCTGCTGACATAATGTATGCAGAGGCATGGACCAGTACACGTTGGCAGAGCCTTCGAAACGGCGTGCTGGTCGTCGTACCTTCTGTGCTTTCGTTGATGTGCGGGAGGCTTTCGATGTAGCCTGGATGGACGCCGTCCTTGAAACTCACAAAGTTCGGGATTGGTGGCTCGTTGTGGTCATCGCGGATCTTGTGAGCGACGCAAGAGCGCCGGGGTATTCGCCAATGGCTCCACCTCTTCGCCCTGACCGGAATCTGCCAGCGTTCGCCAAGGCAGGGTCCTTGACGCGCTGCTGTTTAACATTCTGTGTAATGGCATCGTGGATGCGATCCGTGTCGTGTACCCAAGCGTTGCTCTCTTGCTCTACGCTGACGACTTCGTGATCTTGGCCGAGGAGGCTAAGGATGCTGGTCCGCTCCAAAGAGTTTTAAATGCAATTGGAGCTTGGGGTTCTTCGTGGCGTTTCTCTTCCGCGTGCTTGGTGCGCCAGACGCGCTCCCGTTGGGTGACGTGTTGGACCTTGCGATACAGGTAAACCCCGAAGTCATAACAAAAACGGCGGGCGAGCCTTCCCGCAACTAACCGCACGTTACGACCCATTTTCGGACGTCATAACAAAATCGCTTTCCACCATGTCACCGCGGTGCGGGGAGGGGTTAAGGCAGAGGCTGTTGCTGTCATTCCCTCGACCCCGTGCTGTACCTGTGCCCTCGGCCGGAGAACTTCATTCACCCTAGAGGTGAGCTGGCTCCAGAGCTCACCATAGCCAGCCTTCAAAGTCCGAGGCAGGCCATGAGAGAGCGGTGATAATTGAGTAGTCTGCAACGTCGCTTCCGCATGTTCAGCGCTGATAAGAAGTCATAACATTTGCTGTTTCCCCCAAGTAACCGCACCTGACACAAAACATGGTTTCCACACACCGCGTCTGAAACATTCTACCGAACCGTGGGCTTGGAAGCCACAAGAGGCACTTCCAGTGCTAAAGTTGTACTGCAACCAAGCACAATCCAGCCCGGACGCCAAACGAGGCATTTCCAGCACTAAAGTCATACTACTACCAAGCACAATCCAGCCAGGACGCCAAACGAGGCATTTCCAGCACTAAAGTCATACTACTACCAAGCACAATCCAGCCAGGACGCCAAACGAGGCATTTCCAGTACTAACGCTGTACTACAACCAAGCACAATCCAGCCAGGACGCCAAACGAGGCATTTCAAGTACTAAAGTTGTACTGCTACCAAGCACAATCCAGCCAGGACGCCAAACGAGGCATTTCCAGTACTAAAGTTGTACTGCAACCAAGCACAATCCAGCCAGGACGCCAAACGAGGCATTTCCAGTACTAAAGTTTTGTACTAAAGGGACTTTGGCAAGGAACCCGTATCACCAACTACACCGCGGAATGTTACGACCTAGCGTTTTCGCTTCCCCGAAGGTATGCTGCGATTTGCTGACATGCGTTACGAGTTCGGTAGTTCCCTGTAGTGAGCGCCCCGAGCCGGCTGCCGCTTCGCTAGCATCCCGCATCCCGTATAGTTACCGACGGTGCGACACGTTGTGCGGACGTAAAAAGGTGCGGGGAGAAAAAACAAATTGCTCTTCGGCCCCCCACCTGAAGCCGGCTTGGCTTTCATCAAGTTGCGGGTCGATTGTGGGCAACAAACGTGCCAAAAGAAGGCGTTCAAAGAGTGTGAAACTACAACAAAAAAGGCAGATGGGACGCTAGTTGTTAAACTTGTCTACAGGGCCACTCTTGTGCAGAGGGCGCACTCGAGCTGAACGCCAAGTTGACAGGACAACAGCCCCATGTCGCACCAACTCAAAGAAGGCGAGCATGGTCTGGTGGCCCGCAAACAGTTGTCATCCACAACGAAAACTTCGTAATGGAGGCCGTCCGGACCTGCCACCCGATGCAACGGAAGCTGAGACAATACATTCTGCAATTCAGCTTCGGTAAATGGAAAGTCCAGCCGACCGACAGTGTGAGCATGTCACGCAGCATTGCAGCAACACGATCGGTGATTTTGGAGGAACTAGGATCGACACGGGCACTACCTTGCACAGGGGGCAAAGGCTGGACATTACGAAAGTGATCACGCCATGCATATAAACAATCATTGCCTTCAACCTGCGCTCCTGAGACCTTGTCAATCGCGGCAATTTGCGCTGGTTTGTGCCCAACTGCTCATGCACGTTACGAGCAGCAGCTCCGAGAAGCATCTCGCGAAACAAATCGGCAGCCCTCGACGCCGTGCACATTGCATATCCAACGCGGGCAGGATGTAAACTTTTCTTGTGCGCATGCACCCGAATCCCGACTAATTACATGCGCCTCCGTCGTCACCATGGATTACTTCTGCGGGATGGCACTGGTCTTGCTCCTTTTTTTGCGGCTCTGCACCTGCGTGGAAATCCGCCAACGCACCCAGGCATCAGCTCAAGCCACAACCAAACCGCCGTTGTTGCGAATAATTCCTTCCACCGGAGATCAACATGGTCTTGTAGTCATGACCTGGGGCGGACTGGGGAAGCCGGCTGGCCATGACGAGCTCGACCCCGCGCATCGCCAAGTAAGATTAACTAGGCCTCACCTGCGCTGCAGGTTTCGGCCACCGAGCTGCACCAATGCACAACTCACACAGTCCGTGCAGCCGTGCGGGAGTAGGGAAGCGGACTGATGGAAATCTCCCTCCACGTCGGCGCTCAAAATCCCTGTGTGCAAACGGACTGCATGGTGGACATGTGGTGCAGAACCTTCGATTGCTTGCGGCAACATCGGGGGGAAAACATTGCTGTTTGCTGCGTGGCAGTGTGTGCTGCGCAGCTGCAGCACACATGTGAGATGCGACCTTTCCCGTGGCAAATGTTCTTGATCTGTCTTGTTGTCTACACTTAGAAGATTTTACACACTCGACGTGCATTGGAGTGTCTGTTCGAAGCACGGCCTTCGGAAAGTTCTAGCTTTCGGCTTCTGAATCAATCGTAACCAATCCTCTTTGCCGCCTGCTCATTTTTTTTAAGTCTGGAAGCACGCAGCTTCAGCAACTGTAGCGTTTGGAGGAGTCCCAAATTTTCAACTCATGTACCCCTTCGAAGGTATCGTCGTACGCAGAACGCAATGGTTCACGAAGATTCATGACGCAAATCTCACCGCAACCTATGCATGCGGACAAAAGTGCTGGAAACATGCTTGATACCGTACATCTGCGTTGACCTGAAGAACAACAAAACAAACTCTCAGAGCCATGCATCCTGTGCCACATGTGTTCGCCCATAACGCAAGGACACACTGGAACTGGAACAAGCAGATCACTGGAAGCCATGATCTTCACGCGGTTCTGGAAAGATTTCGTGCAGTAACCACATGGACCGCACGGCAATCAATACTATATAGGCAAACGACAGGAAACCCTAGAACATCTTGTCCGGCGTATTCAAAATTCAAAAACATATTGGACCATCAGCATACGATAATATTTATATTACTGACTGCTCCTACAGTGAATATGACATGGACATGACAATGGGGTCTGGCCTTTCTCGATGCAGAATGCAAAGCACAAAGACGGAGACAGCGCGTTGGAAGCCATGGAATAGAAAGGGAGGCCCTGCCTGGCACATCTGTAGCTGCGGCGCACCATGGCGGCCAAGGCGAATGGCACTCCCGCCTGCACGTAGACGAAGCAAAGCGGCAGCTCCAATCCAGCGGAGGTTTGCCACGAACGCGGGATTCACCATCCTGCACGAGACTGACTTGAGGTGTTGAGTTATCCTCGATGCTTTTGTTTTGACCGCTCAGGATTCGTGCTGCGACCGACCGCATGTCTGACTGTTTGCAGCCTCCAACTAAAAACTGCTGAGAACTGCCTGCTTCGCCCCGCAACCGATCTGCTCAAAGTCATCATCATCATCATCATTGCCGGGATACGGCAACCAAGAAGAATGACGTGCGGGGCAATCCACGGTGGATGACGAACAAACCTGTGTTTGGCGAATCCAGCTTGTTTTCCGCCCGCCAATACGAGCGTTCGGCGCTTGCTTCTAAGGCCATGGCCATCAATTCGCAACTGCACGAACGCAGCGGTTCCTTAGCGTCGAGCTTGCACTTCTCCCGCACAGAACATCTCACAGCCTACGGCCCTACACCACACGACAAGAGTCTGGAGCCACATAAGGGCACTTGTCAGAAGCCAACCTCGGACTTGCTTGCTACGGGCTGGGCTTCCAATGCGCAGGTTGCCAAGCCACAAGTCACCTGTTGTCAAAGAGCGACAACTTGCTTTGCGGACCTGGTAAGGCATCTGGAATGCCGACCGGAAATAGCAAGGCCAACGGCACAGCTGTCCTGCACAGGGCTACCACCGCAAGCTGCGAGGCAGTCGCCCCAGGGTCCAACCACCCAGGATGCAAGCGGTAATTCCTTAGACCTCCAGGCGAGGCATCCGTTCATAAATGGGCTCGCTAGCCAAGGAATGCCCACATAAGGTACCCAGCCTCGTGCGTCCAACGATTTGCAACAAAGCGATGTCATCATCTGCGTTTGTGGCGTGCCAAACAAGCACCTCGTTTGGAGCTCATCGATTGTCTGCACCTGTCCTGCTCTGTGTGCACGCCACGCAGCCACGCAATCAACTGCAATCACGGCACGAACCAGATGCAAGACCGCATCCGGACAAATTTCCAGTGAAGAAGTGACTGCTCATCGCACACATGCCGAAAAATCAGCTGAACCGACCAAGAAACATTGGAAACATGGGTCTGACGTGTATGGAAGCACGGGATTTCTTTCGAGGCTACGGTTCGATAAACGGAGCTTCCGCAGCATGTCAACCGTGCAGTGCGCAGTTCATCTCAATATCAAAGCCCTGCATAGCTCTACGCCAGACACATTGACTTGTGCGATGCACCCTCCTTTTTGTTAACAATCTTTTGACAAACACAACGGACCAAAATGTTTCCCCATAGCGGCCATAGCGCCCAAAAGCCATCGCAAGATGCGACGATTGGCACTGCAGTATAAGCGTAAAGCAAGCTTCCTCGCTGGTACACGCCAGCTCGCTTGATTAACATACGTTGCATCAAGCGAAACCAAAGAACTGATGAACTGCGTTCAACGAAGTCCTCAAACAAGCGACACCGGACTCTGAGAGCTTTTTGTTCCTGGCAAATTCCCTAGCATTCACTAGCCAATGGCGAAGTCGGGCCTGGTGTATCCATGCAAAAGGTTTGCATGCAAGGCAACACAACGACGGAGATTTAGTGGGGAAGACTGCCCGGAGCGTGGACACATCAGGAATGGGATGCCCGTCCTTTGCTCACCCAAATCCTGGGCCGACAGAAGGCTTGGAACCTTTACGACAGTGAGCGAGCTCGACCGAAAACTTTTCCGAAATATCAAGTGCCCCGGCAAACGGGTCTCCGTCTGTGCTTGGCCTGGTCTCAATTACATGTATCACAGCGAGGATTGGAATCTTGGATTCAAACTCAAAAAGCAGGTTTGTGTAAGGCTGATTTTGTGCAGTCGTAGCAGCAGCAGTAACAGTAGTCGTCGTGGTAGTCGTAGTAGTCATAGTAGTAGTAGCTACGCGCGCCCCCAGGCCTGGTGTTAACCTCTGTTTTTCTGCGTTTTGAAACATTTTGCTAGGGTGGGGGGGGGGTGTGGGGGGGGTACCGCAAGCAGTGACGCAGTAGCGCCGGCGCCGGTGGCAGTAGCAGCAGCAGTAGCAGTAGCAGCAGCAGTAGCAGCAGCGCCTCTGCAAAAACAAAACTTCGAGAAAACCGATGCGCGCCCTACCCAATCATCATCCTCACCATCTTCAGCATCATCGTTAACCTGACCATCTTCATCATCATCTTCATAACCATCATCCTCGCCATCTTCAACAGCATCGTTGACCTGACCATCTTCATCATCATCCTCATAATCATGATCCTTATCATCATCATACACCCAAGTAAGCAATTTCTTTGAAGTTGGCTTAACTACAATTTTTCAAATCTCGGCACAGCGACAACCGCCAGCCAGGCAATCCCAGACTGCAATTGCCACCCTTCAAGCCTTTTGTATTTGTGGAAACCACGAACATGCTGCGAAGCACTCTTCCTCCAGAGCGAAACCGTGTTTCAGACGCCCTCCGCGCGTAAATGTGCTGATCGGATGATCTTTAATCGAAATTTTGTGTTGTTTGAAGCTTTTACTGGGCGAAATCAAAATTTTTTCAAAAAGATAAGAAACAAAATGAAGCTGCTATGTCGAGATCTCCGATTTCTTGCAAACTTTGCGAATTTGAATTTATGAGATATTCTGGAACATAGCGGGACATAGCCTCAAAGTTTGGGTCGAAAGTGGTGATAGATTTGACACATAAAGTTTATTCAAAAATAACACATGCAGGACAAACTGAGCTGCAAGAAGATGAATGTGTTAAACCCGAAACCCCATAAACCCTAAACCCCAAAGCCCTCGCGTGCAGACCCTTGTTGTTACAGTGTCTGCTCACAAGTCCGAGAAGCTTTTGGGATGATGCATTGTAGTCGAAGTCCCCGTCTCAACTCGCAGGCTTGCTTGCAGCACATTTTGCTGCATTAGAGAAAGCCGGAAACCTTTTCTTTAGGTCCAAACAGTTAAACAGCTGCGAGTTTGTAAGCAATTCCCTTCTTACGGTTACTTGGCATGTTAAGTAGAAATCCACTGGAGCCCTTGGCACTTTGGCCACAGCATCGACGCCATCGCACATCGCCAGTTGCAAGAACGTGGCCGATTCGGACGTCTGGTGTCCGCAAGCCATCCCAAAACATTGGTTTTTGAATTTTTACATGAAGTCTGGTGATTCAAATTTTCTGGAGCAGTTCCTTGTGCAAGTCGTACGCAACATGAGTTCTAGAGGTTTGGCTTTCAACCATCGTTTTTCGGCTGCCACCAATTTTCAACCCAGCCAAAACCCTTCCGAGTCCAGAGTTGGCTATTTCATCCGAAAAAAATTTGCTGGTAGAGCTTTTCAGCTCGGACCGATTCCACTTTTCGGGATTCCACAAAAATTCCGCGGAAAACGAATCTTCCTGCTAGTTACTGCTAGTTCTTGGAATAACAAAAATTATAAGCAAGTCTCGCACTTGTACCGCTAGGTGCAACTTTTCTGGACTGGCGGGGAAAGTGCTCCACCCCCTCCCTCCCTTCCCCCCTGCACCTCACCCCCCGTTCCCGGCTATGGCTGTTGGTATTCCACCGAGGTGCAGTTGGCTGCACGAGCGGAGGCCTGCTTTTCTTCGTGGCTCAGGAAAGCTCTCATCAGACGCCGGGCTTGCAGGCCGGGTGATCCAGAAAGTCTTACGCAATGTCCGATGTTCCTGATTCAGAGAGCATCGAACCAGAGATCAGCAAAACGACTCCTTTCGACTCCTATAAACCACAAAGCCCCGAAACCTCCCCGGCGGCGTTCGAACAGCACCCACCGCCTCAGCACCGCTCCGCCGGCACCCAAGCAGGACTCAACCGCTCTCCGCCGGCACCGCATGAGCAGCATCGCCTGAACCACTCTTCGCAGGCACCTGAGCAGCAATCGCAATCAGACGACATCAAACATTGGCCGGTTCCGCCCTGGACTCTCGGAAGGGTTTTGGCTTGGTTGAAAATTGGTGGGGGCCGAAAACGATACGTTGAACGAAAAAGCAAAGCCAAACCTCTAGAACTCATGTTGCGTACGACTTGCAAAAGGAACTGCTCAAGAAAGTTTGAATCACCATGGACAGCGCAGACTTCATGTAAAAAAAGTTTCAAAAACCAAAGTGTCCTGAGATGGCTATGCTGTTCAGCTTGAAAACATTGCAAGGGCGCTTTTGACCTGTTAAAAAAAATTACTGTGCAAAGGTTGTGCGACGTTTTCCATCATGCAATAAACTCTCGCTCGAAAACGTGACAGACATGCCCAATCGCTGCTCTGTCGGATGTGCTGCAAAGGACGCTCGCAAAACCGTGCACGAGAGTTTATCTTAAAAAATTGGCCCCTGTACATTATGGACCCCAGAGGTCTCTGGTCTTCCCGGGCCATTTTTGCTTGACATGCCAAGTAACCGTAAGAAAGGAATGGATGCTTGCACAAACTCGCACCTGTTTAACTGTTTGGACAGAAAAAAATTTGACAAATCAGAATCAACACCGGTGCTGAGTTCTCGGTTTCGGTCACGGAAACAAAGTTTCAACGCGATGAGTTGCTGCCTTTCCGCAACCAAAACTTGGTCGAGGTTTCCAGCCTCCCCTAATGCAACAGCAAAATGTGCTGCAAGCAAGCATACGAGCTGAGACGGGGACTTCGACCCTACAATGTGTCACACCAAGAAATTCTCGAACGAGACTTGTAAGCAGACACTGCAAGTTTGAACCTGTCAGGGGCAACATGACAAAAGCAACACAGTGACTTCCCAACTTTGCAACATACTCCAATGAATCATCAGAGCAATTCGTCCTGCTGGTCGTACTGATTCTCAACCAGCACAAGCTATGAGATACAGAGAACCATGCATTCACTGGGCATCTTGGCCTTCGCGTCTCAGGCCAAAGCAACTCTACCTTGCACACCTGGCTTGCGCCAGCTTATTCAGAACTTTAGTACGCCGATCTGCCCTAGCCTACACTCCGCTTCATTTGTGTCAGGTTATAAGAAATAACTTCCTGCTGCCAGGGCATCACAAAGCGTCCTCCACTACTCCTAAATTTAGACCCCGTCCAATGCCTCCCACACTTCCCAGCCTCTCTCTTCCAGGCTCTGCCAATCCCTCCCAGCCCCCAGCACCTCCCAGTGTCTCCTACGGGCTCCCACCACAATCCAGGCAGGCAAGCCGTGACCTTAGTGAAAATTGGGGCTGCGTTTCGTGGCGGGGAGTCCCGCCAGACTGAGTTGCACAACAAAGCGTTTCATGGCGCAGTTGGCCTTTTTCGCTGGATTCCATTCAATTTCACTTTTTGTGTTGGTTTTTTTTTTGTTGTCCTTTCTGCTGCATTTTTGCATCTTCAGCACATTTTTGTATGTTTTAAAGGCTGTTTTGGGTGGGATTCCGGTGGGTTCCGGTGGGTTCCGGTGGGCTCCGGTGGGCTCCGATTCTCACCTGAAACTCTGCCAAATTTGCCACTTTTCCGGTGGGAATCCACTCCCTGAACCAAGCCCGGGTAACCAATTCTCACCTGAAAATCACCAAATGTTGCTGGTTTTCCGGTGGGAATGCTTCTCGAAGCTATTATATGCGTTGGCAAAATGATACTTCAGAGCAAATCCAAGCATGTTGTACATGGCTTACCCACAAAAGCTCAAGTCGCTGTGACCGTTTTTCCGCACCGCTTCAAGGTGTCGAGGCTGGTCGCGACACTGTACGAGTGACCACAGCTTCGTAGGCAGCAGAAGGTGATCCGAGGATCACAAGAAACTGCAGCCGCAGTCGAGTCGCGAAGCACCGCTTCCGCAAGGGCGGGTGGGCGGGCCGAAAACTAGAGGTTCAGCCGTGAAACATGGTTGGACATGTTGTACATGGCTTACCCACAAAAGCTCAAGTCGCTGTGACCGTTTTTCCGCACCGCTTCAAGGTGTCGAGGCTGGTCGCGACACTGTACGAGTGACCACAGCTCGAGGATCACAAGAAACTGCAGCCGCAGTCGAGTCGCGAAGCACCGCTTCCAG